GAAAGACTGTTCGTACTTTCCTTACAAAGAAAGATTCCAGGAAGATTAATATGCTCAAGGCCGCACAAAAGTTCAGTAAGTGCAAATTCAGATATAAAAGCTACCATTCCTTAACAGTTGCCCAGAGGCAACAGAAACTGAGAGAATAGGCCTTAAGTAGCCTGCAAGGGGTGGAGGGTGGGGGACTAGGGGGAAGAATGTAAAAAAGTGTCTGTCAACGGACTTAGAGACAGTCTGGTAGGTGGGAGAGAACCTGGGACACTGGTGAAGGGTTTGGTGTTGGAACATTGTATGCCTGAAACTCAGTCATGAATAACATGGTAAATCACAGTGCCTTAAAAATATTTTTCAGGGGCCGGAGCGATAGCACAGCGGGGAGGGCGTTTGCCTTGCATGTGGCCAACCTGGGTTTGATCCCCGGCATCCCATATGGTCCCCTAAGCACCACCAGGAGTAATTCCTGAGTGGCTCTAATTCCTGAGTGCGGAGCCAGGAATAAAGCCTGAGCATCACTGGGTGTGTCCTGGCATCGCATATGGTCCCCCAAGCACTGCCAGGAGTAATTTCTGAGTGCAGAGCCAAAAATAACCCCTGAGCATTGCTGGGTGTGACCCAAAAAGCTATATATATATATATTTTTTTTTTTTTAATTTTTCAGTTTAAATTTGAAACAAATCCCATAACAATAGAAAAGAACAATTAAAGATTGGGCCTTTAAAAAACAAAATTTTTATTTTCTATATTGTTGCCATGTCATGCACATGTGAATAGCTGTTCTGTTTATAAAACTCTTTTCTCTAGCATTTGGGCATGAGTTGGTATGTCCAGGTTCCCTGTCAACAGTCCTCATTACGTGACTGACAGGTTTTACTTCTGGCTTCCTCTGAGTGGTAAACACTCTCACTTCTCTAACAGAAAACCTCAGGGAGGACAGGAGCAGTGACAATCTTGCATATTTCTAGGACATAGAAAGATCCTACAAGAGTTGAGGCATTTGCCTTGCATGCATGAAATATCCAGCACCTCATATGATACGTCTAGCACCGCCAACATCGTACCCTGGGCACAGCCAGGTGGGGCACCATACAAACAAAAATGTATGCAGACTTTTATAATAGAATTATTCCTGAAAGAATTGTACATTTCACTGGTGTTGATCTGATTTCAGCAGAAAGCGTGACTCATCATTTATACTGTGTGGAAGAATTTACATTTGTAATGGTTTGTTTAGATCCTTAAAGAGCCCAGAATGTGCAGAAGACCAGATAAGTGGGCAGTTTGAAGGATTGGTGCTTCTCATCTGAACCTTTTGGTTTAGGATCTTGATAGTATAACTCTGGAACTATTAATAACATTAAGTTTGTTGGGGGTTCTTTTTTAAGGGGAGACAGTGGTGGTGGCGAGATTCTCATTTCTTGCCCCTTTACTTGGCCTCTTACAATATTGGGTGTTCTGAATACCTACTTCCTCAGCCACCGCATCTTGTGGGTCCAACTCTTAATTCTGTCCCAGGCCCAGATTCACATCTGAGCTATTGAGTGTTTCTAAGCACCATGGATGACTGAATCCTCACGATGCTCTTCTACAGGGACAGATCAACACTAATATTTTACATCTAGCGTGAGACTGATCAACACTAATATTTTACATCTAGCGTGAGACCCAGTTGATATATATGGAGTTGATTCCTCCATCTCTGGAGGATGCTGAAGTGGAGTTTATTTTTGCTTGTGTTTTTAAAAAGAACTTGTCCCTTATATAGGAGTGCTGCAGATCTTAGTCCTTGGATGATAAAAGTCATATTTCTCTGCCAGAATGTACCCTCTTTCACTGGGAATCCTGGATGGGACAATGGACAATCAGAAAGATGTGGCAGGTCTTTATCAGATGCATAATTGATAGTTAGGAAGCTTTAAAAAGAAAAATGTAAAGTGTTCCACTTGAGAGAAGTTAAAACTGGCATGAGTGTTACCTGTATACAACATAACATTACAGCATGTATAATGCTGGAACGATAGCACAGCAGTAGGGCGATTGCCTTGCATGCAGCCAACATGGCCGACCCGAGTTCGATTCCTCCGCCCCTCTCGGAGAGCCCGGCAAGCTACCGAGAGTATCTCGCCCGCATGGCAGAGCCTGGCAAGCTCCCCGTGACGTATTCGAGATGCCAAACACAGTAACAACAAAAGTCTCCAATGGAGACGTTACTGGGCCCGCTCGAGCAAATAGATGATCAACAGAAGGGCCTTTATTATAGCATGTATGTTTTAGGGTCAGACAGAGAGTTCAGAACAAAGAGGACTATTGAGCCTAAAAGAAAAAGATGGAGGCAGAGGTAATTAGGAAGGAAACTTCTATGGCGTGGAGTCTGTTGGAATAGAGCCATTGAAGGGTTTCGTGGCCCTAATTTCTTTCTGAATCACAGCTACTGTTGGTGGTGGAATTGCTAATAACTCACTGAAGGCTGAAAACCCTCCAGAGATGGAGTATGAAGCACTGATTATTGACCAGTTTGACAGAAAATGTTTGTACAGACTGGGACAGTCGATTGACCTGCACTTCAACTCTCCCTGGGTTAGATCTGACAAAAGGGGTTGGGAGGAGCAGTGACATGGTTTTCATTTCTCCAGAGCACCAACATCTGGATCAGCACCAGCACTAGGATCACAGTATGATATGTTGACACTGGCATGGCAGTTTGTGATAATGAAGCCAGTTTAAAGCGTGAGCCACCAGGGGTGCACGCCATTGTCGACATGTCACTGCACGACAGCCTGTGAATAGTAGCATTAGGGTAGGTAGAACTGCCCGCTGCTTTAGCACTCTTGGGCTCTTCTCCATACTGTCCTGGAAGTCTTGCTTATACCATCTGCCTTTTCCTGTCAGTTGCCCCACCACCACCACCTCCCCTCTGTAGGAAAGACATTATTACTTGTGAGTTCGACTTTCAGTCAGACGCATAATGACGCAGAAAGTCATGATTCTTTTTTTTTCCCCTTTTTTAATGAATCATCATGAGATACAGTTACAGACTTACGTTCGAGTACCCATCCCTCCACCAGTGCCCTTTCTCCACCTCCAATGTTCCCAGTGCCCCTCCTGCCAACCCTACCCCTTCCCACACCCCCCTCTGTGGCAGACACATTCCTTCTCTCTCTCTCTCCTCTCTCTCTCTTTGTCTCTCTCTCTCTCGTTTTGGGTGTTATGGTTTGCAGCATAGGCACTAAGCAGCTGTCATATTTGATCTTAGCCTACTTTCATCACGCATCTACCATCCCAAGTGATCCCTCCAACCATCATTTGCTTCGTGGTCTCATCTCCATCCCACCTGCCTTTTCCCCCAGCACAGGAGATCGGCTTCCAAGCCATAGGGCCACCCTCCTGGCTTTTATCTCTACTATCCTTATGTGTTATCCTTCTATTATGTTACTTTATATTCCACAAATGGGTGCAGTCGTTCTGTGTCTGTCCCGCTCTTTTTGACTCATTTCACTTAGCATGATGCTCTCCATGTTGATCCACTTATATGCAAATATCATGGTTTCATAGAAAGTGATTTTTCTTGAAAGGTCTGGTGAGAAATAAGAATTTCCTGGGTGACTTGACACTGGATTCTTTTTAGCCTTTTTTGTAGATTATAAGGTGTTTTACTTGAGCCAGAAAGCTAGACCAGCAGCCCAAGTGCTTGCTTTGCACAAAGCCAACCAAGTTTTATTCCCAGCTTTATATATGGACCTCAGAATACAGCCAGGAGTGATCCCTGAGCACAAAGCCCGGAGTAAGCCCGGAGCTTAGCCGGTGTGGCCCAAATGCCATCACCACCACCACCACATCTTCCTAACCCCCAACACACACATTAAAAAGATGGTTTACTTAAAATGTTAAACTAAGGGGCTGGAGCAATAGCACAGCGGGTAGGGCATTTGCCTTGCACGCAGCCGACCCGGGTTCGATTTCCAGCATCCCGTATGGTACCCTGAGCACCGCCAGGAGTGACTCCTGAGTGCAAAGCCAGGAGTAACCCCTGTGCATCGCCGGGTGTGACCCAAAAAGCAGAAGAGAGAGAGAGAGAGAGAGAGAGAGAGAGAGAGAGAGAGAGAGAATCTTAAAATATATCTGCACAAACTGATGCTTCCTTTAGTGGGTCCAAAGCATGAAAAACGTTGGTGGTGGGCAAGAGTTTCAATTTAGAGACCTGGGCCATAAAATACAAGTTTAGGCTGAAAACTAATAAAGCAGGTTTTTAAGATTTTTTAGGATGTCAGGAATATTTGCTTAAAGTCTATAATATTAGCCAATGCTGGAAAATTCATATTATCTTTACCTGATTTAATAACATTACTGTAGAAAATAGTCCACATATTTTTGGCCATGTATAAGTAGGGATGAAATGGTGACATCCAGGATTTGCAACTGTGGAAACTCCATCAGATGAAACAAGTTTGATGAAACTTGGAAGCTATTGATTCTAGGTGATGGATTTAAATAGGGTTTGCTATACAGTTCTCTCCATTTCCAGCAATTGGAAGCTTTGAGTTACCTGCCCTCCTGACCTGCAGTGGAGTCCCACATGCAGTCCAGTGTGTTGACCTGTCACAGCTCCCCCAGCACAGAGCTTCAGTTACCATTGTAGAAAGCATGCTGCCTCAGAGCGAGCCAACCCAAACACTTCCCGGAAGCTGCTTTTGTTTTATTTTGAGTAAGGACCTGAGCTTGGCCGACAGTGCTGAGGCTGGTGGGTTTTGGGGTCCCTCGGAAAATCCCTGGGAAGTGCTGGGTAGCAGCTGGCAGAGGACATGTTGGGGACCTTATTCAGGATACATACACATGCATCCTGCCACCTAAGCTGTCTCCCAGCCCCGACACTAAACCTACCCACTGACTTCACTGTACCCAGGATTGCTGATTCTGGCGTGAGGATCAATGCTGTTAGCCCTTGATCGGGGTGATTCATTAGCCTCTAAAGAATTTTTTCCTAAAGGAACCTTTTATTTTTACAGGACCACTACAAGGCCTCAGACCTTTTACGATGGGAGTCATTCTTGTACGAGAGGCGTGTGCCACATTCCAATGGCTGAGCCGTTCTGTCCCAAAACAAGAGAGGTTTGTAATCTTTCTGGAAGGTGTGCCAAAATAAAATCATCAGCACTTGGGAAGGTGTCTAGAGTTAAGAGTAATTGGCTAATTAATAGTGCCAGAAAGATTGTTCAGTGGATTGCCTTGCACTGTATTGCCTTGCATGTGGCCAACCTGGGTTCGATCTCCAAAATCCCATATGGTCCCCTGAGCACTGCCAGAAGTGATTCCTGAGTGCAGAGCCAAAGTAACCCCTGAGAATTGCCAGGTATGTCTGCCCCCCCCCCAAAAAAAAAACCATGGCTAAGCACATGATTCTTTATTCCCTCTGATTTGATTCATATGCCAATTGTATGGGCTGGAGCGATAGCACAGCGGTAGGGCGTTTGCCTTGCACGCAGCCAACACGGCCGACCCGAGTTCGATTCCTCCGCCCCTCTCGGAGAGCCCGGCAAGCTACCGAGAGTATCTCGCCCGCACGGCAGAGCCTGGCAAGCTCCCTGTGATGTATTCGATATGCCAAACACAGTAACAACAAAGTCTCCAATGGAGACATTACTGGGCCTGCTCGAGCAAATCGATGAACAATAGGAGGACTGTGACAGTGCCAATTGTATAAGCAGCCGTTACCCTTTGCTAATGTAATACCTCTCTACTCTTAATCATTTGTAAATGGGTCAATGAAAATTACCTAGGGAACCCAATTTGAACAGTTAAAAATTAAGAGTCAGGCCAGAGAAATAAAACAGAAATTAAGACACTTGCCTTGCATCTGCCTAACCCTGGTTCTAATACCCAGCACCGCATAAAGTCCTATGAGCATGTGCCAGAGTCACTCCCTTGTATAAAGACTAAGAGAGTCCTGGAGAAGACAGCAGTTAGAGAAAATACAAAAATCAAGTCTTTCGGTTATGACATGATCTTATGACTGTGAAAGAGATGTTCAAACATTGTCATGAAATGCAAAGATTCCGTGGTACTGCCCCTTGGTGAGCTACCACTGAAACTGCTGACCTCCATATGACCTTTTGTGAACTGATGAGGAAGTAGACCGATGGATTGTCAAGTGGTAAGTAAGGTGTGTGATGGTTTTTATATAATATTCATGTGTATAAAGAGATCCATCTGGAAGTAAGGTATTTCTGGAAAGTTGGTCTGAAAAAAAATGATAACAGTGGTTTTCCTTCAGGGGAAAGAAATTTGTCACAGGGCAGTGTTATTTTCTGTACCTTGTGCAAGTGTTAACCTGTTTTTGAAAAGTTGTTTTAGATCATCTAAAATGCACTCCTGAACATTCTTACACATTAGTTATATTTAGCCTGGTGATCTAATGTTGCTAAGACACTTTTCAAGGATAGCAGTAGATTCAGGAGTTCCACAATGATTACTCAAGACAGGGAAATGAGGTCATCTTAGCTTCAGACCTTGAACTTTCTTGGGCTGTAATTTTAATTTCTGCTCTGTTATCTGTTATCTACTGAGAGTACAAAGTGTCAGTTCTCTGACAAAATCCAAGAGTCTGTCACTGTCGGACCACATCCCTTAGCCTCGCTCCCTACCATGCCCCACTCCACCCATCCATCATGGCCTCCCCCCCTCCATGGGTGCTGGTGGGGACTCACATGGTGCAAGCCATTGTCACTGGGCTTTTATGATTTTCCTCCAAACATCTCTAGAGGAGCCCTGAGGTTAGATGGAGATGTACCCTTGGCTATTTGGAATTTTTTAACATTTAATGAAGGCAGTACTGGACTCTTGAAGTTTTGAAAAAGAAATTGTGGGGAGAGAGGAGTGGTTTTGATTAAGGTTAATCTTATTTTCAGCAAATAGAAGATAACGAAGCATGATGTAATCTCAACTGTTCGTTGTCTTTGGCTACTCGTGGTTCTAAATTTGGAGTTGCCCAACTCTTATTAAGATTCTTGGTTCTCTGCCATGGTAAAGTATAAGTTGTTTTTAAGGAAATAGGGTTGATTTTCTTATCTGGCTCAGACATGTGGAAGCAAGACTGGCCTAGAGTGAAGCCTTCTATTGACTTTGAGTCAATGTACACATATAAATATATAGTTCTAAGAACCTTTGCCAATTATTTGACAAACATGTGTAGAAACTACCTGTGTGTATTGTTAAAAGATAGTATTATTGAAAGTGTTTTGTTAAAGCAGGCCAGAGATAGTACAGGAAGTAAGGTGCATGCAGCCGACCCAAATTCTATCCCTGGCACCACCTAAGGCCTCTAAGCACTGCCAGGAGTTACCCGAAGCAAAACACAGAGCCAGGCATAGCTCTTAAGGCAGCACTGGGTGTGGCCAAAAAAGGGACAAGTTTATTTTTTTTTTTATAGCTAGTGTGTACAGGTGTCTGACACAATTGGTCCTATGTATCCATTACTTCATTTAATCAGTATTCATTTTACAGTTTGTTTTTTTTTACTAAGACATTACGAAGGTTAGAAGATTTTTCAACTGTACTAAGTAGGTTTTAAAGGTTTTATAAAAATTTATTAAAAGAAATACTGAGATGCAGTCTAAGAAAAAATGAATTAATAAACTGAAGTTTAAATATGTGTTACTAATTAAACACTGGACAAAATCAAACTTTACTCGTGTGGTACCCAAGAACTGAACTTAGAGTTCTAGACCCAAATGAACAGGTTTTTAAATAATTTTTTAAAAACCTGAACATTTTGCTTCGCTAGCAAACATGCTAAAATAAGTTTATTCCCGGACAAAATAATAAGAAGAACAGCAACACACAGACTTCATCTGTTTACCTTCTGGCCTGGGAGGGCCACCGGTTGGCAAAAAAACATACTTTACACCTCCCTCCCCCACCAAAAAATACTTTACTTTCTTTCTTCGGGTTTTGTATTTTAAAAAAAAAGCAATAAGAATTTTTGAGGAGCTTAGAAATTGTTTCCAGCTCATCTCTTTAAGGATTGCTCCATGATGAGCAGCACCTTAGCTTAGCCTTAGAGGTTGAGTCAAGACAAGTCCGTATTCACAGCCCAGCCTCACCTCTTCAAGCTGTTAAGAAGCGAGATTAAAGTGTGTAAACAAACTTCTGGTACTTAGATAAAGCTCACCATCTGTTCTTAGTGTGTGCCACGGACTGGAGGATCAGAGGATTTTTTGGTTCCCAGGGTTTGGGGTGGTTATTTTGTTTATTTTCTTTTGTTTTGGGGCCACACCTGGCAGTGCTGGGGGTTTACTCACTCCTGGCATGCTTGAGTGACCATGTGGTGCTGGAGATCAAGCCTCAGCCTCTCTCATGTGCAGCTGTTTGTGTATTCCATTGAACCATCTTTCTGGCCCCCTGAGGATTTCTTGAGTGCATGAGGATTCTAATAAAAACTCTCCTACTGTTGCCCAGGTTCTCTTGGTCTACTGGTAGAGGCATTTATCATAAAAATCATTCTAAATTTATCGAACATCGGGGGAAGTAAGATTTTTAAGCTGTACTTATATTTCTGTGTTTTAAGTCTGTGGTTCTTTTCTAGGTCCTCATAGAAACTGCCAAAAAGCTTGGACTCCGGTGCCACTCAAAAGGGACAATGATTACAATTGAGGGACCTCGTTTCAGCTCCCGGGCAGAAAGCTTCATGTTCCGAACCTGGGGAGCAGATGTGATCAATATGACCACTGTTCCGGAAGTGGTTCTTGCTAAGGAGGCTGGAATTTGCTATGCGAGTATTGCCATGGCAACAGATTACGATTGCTGGAAGGAGCATGAGGAGGCGGTAGGTGGATTTCACGTCTGAGCTTTAATGCCAGCCTGAGTCTCCAGGTGTTTTTAAGCGCCACTTAAAGAATGTCTGACTTTCTGTTGTGGTAGTTCCAGAAAGTGCTATTCTACCAGACTATGAAGCCAACATTTTGTTTAAATGCATTGTGTTAGGTATTGCCCAATACTTTCCATGGTTTCCATGGAAGATAGAGCAAAAAAAAAGTTTTAAAAAAGGACATTTAACTTTTTCCACTCTGGAGAAGTCTGTGTTCTCTCTTGAACACCAAGTCCTTTCTTTCTCTCCCATCACATCTCTCTCTAAATTTCTCTCAATAAAAACAGTTTTACTTGAAAAAGGAGGATGAAGGGAGGGAAGTCTTATCCAGGATCTCGATCAAACAAGTGTGTCGTAGGCATACAAATGGGATGGGAATCACATTCTAAGGATAAAAAAGTCCTTATTCTAAAGGATGAAAGAATCTTTCGGTCATAATTTCTTTGAGCTATTACAGTTTATAGTAGTAGGTTTGTTTCCAGAGGGAAAAACTATTTTTTCTTCTTGGTAAAAGGACTCTCTTCGTATTTACCTATTTAACCTACCATAGCTAAATGCTTGGTATAAGACGAGCCAATATTCAGTGTTTCGGGGATAGGAGAAAGCTTAAGCAAAACCCGGAGTGATAATGAGGTGTGATATGCAGGCATACATAATCATGTGACAGAACCAAATATTTGAAATCTAGGAAGCCTTCTGTACTTAAGTGTGCCAGGAAAGATGAATCTGATCAGAAGGAGAGTAGAAAGGATGGAGTGGCCTTGGAGACCAAGTGGAGGGCGGGGGAGGGGGTTCAGTTGGAGGTTAGTGAGAGAGACTTTATGCAGGAAAGATAATATGATTAAGCTTCCTAACTATTCACATTTCCAAACTCTGGTCTCATAATTTCTAAGATTTCATTTTGGTGTTTGGTGCCAGCCCTAGCAGTGCTCGCTGCTTCCTCCTGGTTCTGCATTCAGGGATCACTCCTGGTGGTGTTATGAGAACCACATGTAGTACAGGGGACTGAACCAGGTGGGATCTAACATGAAAGGCAAGCACTTTAACCCCTGAACTAACTCTCCTGCCCCGTTGCCTCAGAATTTGTAAATGTTCAAATCACGGCCCCTTAAATTTACGACTTGAATTCGAGTCAAGTCTCCTTTTCATCTATCTGGTTATATATCTCCTAATTCAGAGAGATGGACAAAACTAAAGTCAAGGAATGTTGAAGTCAGCAAGAAATGTAGGGATATGAATACATTTAGGAGAGGGGACATGGATGGAGCAGGGAACGACTCAACCACCATCTCAGAGCAGGTGTCCTGTTGCCTATCACTGTCCTGTTGCCCGTCACTGTCCTGTTGCCTGTCACTGTCACTGTCCTCCCGTTGTTCATCGATTTGCTCGAGTGGGCCCAGTAACGTCACCATTGTGAGACTTGTTACTGTGTTTTGGAATATTGAATACGTCACGGGTAGCTTGCTGGGCTCTCCAAGAGGGACAGAGGAATTGAGGCCGGGTTGGATACCCTAGGCAAGGCAGATACCCTAAAATGGGGAGAAATTTCTGCTGTTAGTACCCACCTTTGTGGAGCTTAAGCTACAGGTGAACGCTGTTGCTTAGTGTGCAACAATGCCTTACCCTTGCTTTCTGCTATAATATACTACACTGCATGCTGGGATGCTTTCTTTGTAAGAGATTTGCAGATCGTGACACAATCTGATTTGGCAACTTTGGTTATGTACAGAGTGCTCAGCCTCGTGGGTTGAAGAGATACTTCTACTTCATAGGAAATTCTGGAGTCAGCAAGAAAATACAGGTGTATGAACACATTTAGGAGAGGTGACATGGCCACGCTCTGCTATGCTTTGAAGAAACCCAAGATTTAGGGGCACAATGATTAAGTCTTTCTTTTATAGACCCTTCCCACAACTACATACACTGCTCACTGCTGTGGCATTCTGCTCATTTAGTGACATGTTTAGATGGTCAGACTCTGCAGAGCACACGGGACTTTCCGTTCGTGGACCACAGGATGTTTGGAACTCATTTAGATCTAACTCAGTTCAATGCAGAGGAACTTAACCATGTTTGAGTGGTAAAGCATGAATGTAAATAATGACAGATGGCACAGGAAGGCCTAGGTAAATTTGGCACCTCAGCCACTGTGTGTGCTTGTGCTTTCGATCAGTTGTGTAGCCCAGGTCCTTACACATGCCTGTTACCTCATTCATGTGAGACTCCAGGCATGTTCTGCTCTTCTGTAGAATGGAGCCAGGGCTTGTGGGTAGACCATGTGAGTTGTGCAGTTACAGTTCTGACCCTGGGGGTCTACTGGGAGGATTAATCTGGATGACACGTGCAGAGCAGTGTGGTAAAAGCATCCATTGGTTGTCAAGTGATAGCTATAATGATTGGGGAAGAAGAGAGACAAAAAGGAGTTTGTAAAGAAGGACACTTAGGGTCGCCGCATGGATCACCCAAGAAGGGCAGGGAAGAGTAAATAGAAAGTGAAATTTTGTTTGTTTTTGTTTTGTTGTAGGGCTCACTTCTGGCCCTGTGATCAGGGATTATTATTTTTGGTGAGACTCAAGATACCATAGGGGGTGCCAGGGTTAGAACCTGGGTCAGATACATACAAGGCAGATGCCCTACCCACTGTACTATTGCTCTGGCCTGCCTGCCTGCCTGCGTGCCTGCGTGCCTGCCTTCCTTCCTTCCTTCCTTCCTTCCTTCCTTCCTTCCTTCCTTCCTTCCTTCCTTCCTTCCTCCCTCCCTCCCTCCCTCCCTCCCTTTTCTGTAGTAGAGTTTCAGGCATACGTTCTTGCCCCTGTTACCTCCTGCCACCTGTTTTGACTCCCACCTCCCCCTCCAAACCTCCACTCATTTCTCTCCTTCACTGGTCTTTTCATTTCTGTAATCTAAGGCCAAGATTTTGACCTTGCAATTCCCTTGTCATGTCATCATAAAAACAGATTACTCTGTTTCTGTCTTCTTCTTGACTTTGCTTAATAGCCTCCAGTTCCATCCAAGTTGCATCAGATTGCTTTATTTCTTCATTCCTTTTGACTGCATAGTATCCCATTGTGAGTATATCCAACATGGAAGGTAAATTTCCTGATTCCTTCGTGACTCTTCCTTGGAAAGACTTTGCTTTAATTAGTCTTATCCCTACACCTGGCTGCTGATCAGTATTTTATGGTTCTAAACGCATGTTACTGTTTGTGGGAAGAGTCTATAAAAGAAAGATGTAATCGTTGTGCCCCTAAATCTGGGATTTCTTAAAAACATAGCAGAACATGGCCAGTACACTATCTCTGATTTTCTATTTTCTATTCACAACTTTTTATTTTTTTTCTATTTTTCTGTTTTGGTCATATGTTACAAAAGTTTATAATAATACAAGCTTTTGTGAAGCCAAAATCTGGCTTCAGCCATTATCACTATATATCTTTTTTTTTTTTTCAATTTTTTTGTTTAGTTAGTTTTTGGACCACACCCAAGTTCAGGATTTACTCTTGGATCGGCACTCTAGAATCACTCCTACTGGTGGGGCCGGAGCAGTAGCACAGTGGGTACGGTGTTTGCCTTGCACACGGCCGACCTGGGTTCAATTCCCAGCATCCGATATGGTCCCCCGAGCACCACCAGGAGTAATTCCTGAGTGCATGAGCCAGGAGTAGTACCTGTGCATTGCTGGGTGTGACCCAAAACAAAACAAAACAAAAAAAAGAATCACTTCTACTGGTGCTTGGGGGTCCATTTGAGATGCTAGTGATTGAACCCAGGTTGGCTTGAATGCAAGGCAAATGCTCTGCCTGGTGTAGTATTGCCCAGACCCTCACAATGTACCTATTATAACCCATAATTATATCCACTGGGAAATATCTAACATAACCAAATTATTGTTGATTTCCAGCAATGATTCCTTAATTGGAGCAATAGCACAGCAGGTAGGGCATTTGCCTTGCACGTGGCTGGCCTGGGTTCGTTTCCTCCGTCCCTCTCGGAGAGCCTGGCAAGCTCCCTGTGGCGTATTTGATATGCCAAAAACAGTAACAACAAGTCTCACGATGGAGACGTTACTGGGCCTGCTTGAGCAAATCGATGAACAACAAAAAGACAGTACTACAGTGACAGTGCTACCAGGAAGCACAATAAAGTTCGTTGTTTATTTGGTTGTTTATTTATTTCACAAACATCTCTGTAATATATGATTACAGATTACACTGCTTGAGTATGTGTGTAAGATTCTTCTTAGTTCCCATCACTAGAAAGCAGAGAACAGTCTCAAGAAACTGATCTCGATCCTTTAGGCATCTTCCAGCTTGTTTTCTCTTCAACAGGATGGTTTTATCTTTTTCACTGAATTCTGGATTGCTCTATCATTGCCTTGTTAGCTTACTGCCTAGTTAGCTAACCAGTTAGAGTCATCTTCAGTCTTCCCTCTTACTTTCCCTTAAGACCACTTAATACCGGCGCTAGGGCTGGAGTGATAGCACAGCAGGTAGGGCATTATTTGCCTTGTACGCAGCTGACCCAGGTTTGATTCCTCCGCCCCTCTCGAAGAGCCTGGCAAGCAACCAAGAGTATCTTGCCCTCACGGCAAAGCCTGGCAAGCTCCCCATGATGTATTTGATATGCCAAAAACAGTAATAAGTCTCAATTTGTTGTGAGATGTTACAGGTGCCCGCTCGAGCAAATCGATGAACAATGGGAGGACAGTGCTACAGTTTATTTGGTTTGGTTTAATGATGTAGCACCCATCCATTTAGGAGCTGTGAAAATGGCGATACTTTGATTTCATTTCTTTTTTCTTAATTAGCTAGAAGACTTCTCTACAGAGATTTATGCTTACTGATTGGTTATCCAATATAGCAACAGATTCAAGCTAGAATTGATTCTAAGAACATCAGGAAAATAGCTTCATCTTTCTAGTTGTTATTAGCCCATTATACATACATCTGAGAGAGTTTATCAGACATGGCCGAAAACCAGTGGTCCTTTTCAGAGATGTGTTCTTCAATATCTCTCCCATGGGATCAAGACCATCATGATAAAAATGTAGAACTTGGGCTTAGTGGATTAAATAGGAGTCAGTTGTCTTCACAGATCAAGTAGAAACTTACGAAAATGTTATACAGAAAGTAGTGGGATATAAAAAGTAATGAGATTTTTCATTGGTAACATTTGTGTGCTACTGTTTCTCTAGGTTTCAGTGGACCGGGTCTTAAAGACTCTGAAAGAAAATGCCAATAAAGCCAAAAGTTTACTCCTCACTACCATACCTCAGATAGGGTCCATGGAATGGTCAGAAACCCTTCATAACCTAAAGGTAAGTATCTTCCTCCATCTGCATACAGACAGCTCAGAGACCCTTAGCTACTTTTTATCTTATTTGCATTTCACCCTTCATCCATCTCAACATGTACTTTATATTTTCCACAAATTTTCATGGCATTTACTACCACACTGAACACTTGTGAAATTTGTGCAACCTTTTTTTTAATTCTGACTAGTAATGTAAGACAGCAGAATATCAGATGAAACTTTGACACTTTATTATTACCTCGTCTGGAAAACTCTTCATTTTCTCCTGCCCTGCAGTAAACTCCCAAATCTTTTTTTTTATTATTTATTTATTTATTTATTTATTGAATCACCGTGGGAAAGGTTACAAAGCTTTCAGGTTTAGGTCTCAGTCATGCAAATATCAAACACATTTCCCTTTACCAAAACTTATTTTTTACCATGAAGAACCCCAATAAAACCTCACCCCCCACCCCTCCCAGTCCCTGTGGGGTAGATGAATTCTAGTTAACACTCTATCTGCTTTGATTAGATTCATTGTTTCAATAAAAGATTCACCACTATTATTTAGAGTTTACCCCCCCCCCCCCATCAGACATGCTGAAAAAGCATTGTGAAGTGATTTGCTTTCTACAGCTGGGTTCAAGAATTATATGTTTGTTTTGGATTTCTGCTATTTTACTTATTGACCCTGGAAGTATTTCTACTGAAAGTCAGATAGTTAAGAAATTGGTTTCTGTGCTCTGGAGACGTGGCCGTGCTGGAGAGCTGCTAGTGGGGGGCAACTGGTGGCCTTGGTAGGGCGTGAAGGGCGGACCGAAACGCCCCCCTTCCCATGAAACTCCCAAATCTTATTTAGAACATTGACGGTGCTTATTCTGCACGTGTCTTCCATTGTTCACAGAGCTCTCTTCCTCTTTGGTAGATCTATGTAAAAGGTTGGCAGTCTTTAAGGCAAAATACTGACATACCAAAATAGTTTCTAGGGATGTCTGCTTCCACTGTTTTTAACTAGTGATAAACATGGGTTGAGTTTCAGTTTGCTAGCTTTTCGTCTCAAGTACTATTTTCCAAAGTGTAATGTGTGCTGGTTTAAACAGCTCAGATTTGCATGATGTGGCATTTGGTATTCTTGATAAACTTCCTCTAATAAAAAAAATCATCCCACATCGACATGGCAGCTTACCCTTAGATTGTCTAATGCATCACTATCTGGCATCTTACACCAGTGGTTGGGAGAAGAATTGGAAGGTTGCTCTGAAGGTTCACTCCATGAATTACCCTCGAGGAGCCCAGGAATGAAGGTCACTAATCAGGGTGTTGAAGAAACAGTGTAAATGTGTCTATAAATAACGATTGCAGATGGGAGTTGAGTTTGCCATTTACAGAATATAAATGCTCTAACGTGGGCTTTTTTTTTGTTGTTTTTTGTGTTTTTTGTTTTTTCCTTTTTGGGTCACACCTGGTGATGCTCAGGGAACCATATGGGATGCTGGGAATCAAACCCAGTTGGCCACGTGCAAGGCAAACGCCCTACCTGCTGTACTATCACTCCAGCCTCCATGGGCATTTTCAAGATACCAACATACACAAATTGAGAGATACTTTGCGTACTTGCAAACTGGTACGCGAAGCTCCAGCACATCACTGTAACTAAGGTGACTGAGTCAAAAATCATGGAATCTGACATATTTCTATTAGACTTAAAGTTCATTAGGAGTAGGAGAACACATCTCTTAGTTTTCTGTAGCCCGGATATTTAAGAGAGAAATTTTCTGTAATAAGTAAGTGATGGTGGGTGTGACCCCCGCCTACTGGAATTTGGAGGATCTGGGTGGAGGATGCTCGACTCCAATCCGAGTAGGCTTGGAGATCTCGGACACACTCACCACCTGGTCCCCTGGCGCCGTGTAATCCCATCAACGGCCAAGACTCAGAGACTATAAAATCCAGCTCCTGGAACCGCGTGACATACGCGGCCGCGCAACATCTTATCAGGACATCTTTTTATGACATCTTATTATCTCATTCCTACTTTGGACAAACTTGCAGGCTATCAAATGTAGCCTGCCCACAGGGCAGAGTCTGGCAAACTCCCTGTGGCGTACCAAATATGCCAAATACCAGTAACAATGATGGGTCTCATTCTCCTAAAGAGCCTTGAATATAATCTCAGGGCTAGGATGAAAGAGATGTTACTGGGGCCTGCTCGAGGCAATCGACGAATAACAGGATGATGAAATGAAATGAAATGAAAGTAAGTGATAACCCGTTTCCCCATCAAATTTTTCATTGCCATTGAAATAGTTAATCTTTTTAGTAATCGTAGGGAGAGGACAGTAATAGAGGTCAGAGATATGTGGCTCAGGGGTCATATATAGTTCGCATATCCAAGGCCCTGGTTTCAATTCACAGTGCTGCCAGGGGAGGGGAAGGCAGTGGACTACATGAAATAAATTCTAAGAGTTGAAGAAAGTTGGAACTGGAAACAGTCTCATTTGGCTAAGTATAGTTCAACAGGGCAGCATGAATGTCGCTGGTCTAAATAAGCACAGTTGATTTGCAGGAAATGTGACTCATCCTTTTGCTGCTGTAGAGGCTAGCGTTGCTAGCCAGTTAGCAAACAGTGCACTTACTATTTCAGTTTAGTTTTAAGTAAAATTGCTTAGATGTTAAAAATCAGCATTTCCTCCTTCTCTGAAGCATGTGGAAGCATATGAAAAAATGTGTAGTTTTGTATATTGTTCGGATTTGAATTTGGATAATGATGGGGATCAAGGCCAGTACTTCATACTTGTAAGCCATGTGCTCTTCCACTGACCGACATTATATAGATCATTTTCCCAACGGCTCTGTGCACAAAACATTCATTGGATGCTAAGGAGAAGAATTGAAGCAGTGATGCTCCAGACAAAAGGGACAGTCGTGAAAATAGGTAAAGGAACAAACATGATCTCTCAGTATCTGTATGGCAAACCCCAAAAGGAGTGAGAGAGGGAGAAGCAAGTGCCTGCCATACAGACAGGATGGAGGTGTGGTGGGAGGGTAAATGGGAATATTGGTCATGGGAAATGTGCACTGGTGAAGGGATCAGTGTTGGAACATTGTATGACTGAAACCCAATCATGAACAACTTTGTAATTGTTATCTCATGCTGATTTAATTAAAAATAAAAAAGGGGGTTTACAGTCATCTTCTCCACTTTGTGGTATTAAGGAAAATCATACTAATAAGCCCTAATTCTGGGAAATGTTTTCAGTCCTCAGCTCTGGAAAATATCTCATTCATTTCAGAAATGCACATAGTGGAATTACCTGCCATGTTAAACTTGTATTTGCAAAGATGTATAAATCTTGCTGTGATTAAGATCTTTTCCTATTGGGAGATTCTATCATATTAAGATCTCAGCGATTATTTTTTTAGCAGGATAAGGGAACAGATACAGGTTGCGTAACCAACAATCCAGGCTAGGGATTAATATATAAAATGTCTTCAAAGAAATGAAGATAAAATGAAAATCAGAACAGGGGCTGGGGCGCCACGGGTAGGGCATTTGCCTTGCACACAGCCAATCCGAGTTCAATTCCCAGCATTCCATGTGGTCCCCCGAGCACCACTCATTTATTAGTGCAAAGCCAGAGTAACCCCTGTGCATCACCAGCTGTGACCCAAAAAGAAAAGGAAATCAGAACAATCCTCTGAGCTAAGCATTTTGAATCTTACCTTTATGAAAGGAGCATGCAGGAGTTTATTTGTTTTGCTTTGTTTATTGTGGCAAACAAACAAAGGGTGTTTAGGGGTTACTCCTGGCTCTGCACTCAGGAATTACCCCGGATAAGCTCAGATGACCATACTGGATACCAGCGATTGAACCTGGGTCAGCCAAGGCAAGTGCTATACCAGATTTACTATCAGAGCTCCTCTGAAGAGTTTTTTCTTTTTTTTTTTTTTTTTTTTGCTTTTTGGGTCATACCTGGCGATGCACAGGAGTTACTCCTGGTTCATGGACTCAGGAATTACTCCTGGCGGTGCTCGGGGAACCATATGGGATGCTGGGAATCGAACCTAGGTTGGCTGCAATCAAGGCAAGCGCCCTATCTGCTGTGCTATTGCTCCAGCCCCTGAAGAGTTTCTTTAAAAATCTGGTCCTGGTTTGGGATATGTATTTTGCATGCAGAAGCCCCAATTTAGTTTCTGTAGCACATAATCTGCATACATACAGACAACACACTACCCAGAGCAACCCCACCTCCTCCACAGTACGTATAAGCTCTGGAAATCACTAGAGGTAGGTCACCCCAACATGTGCATGTTCCTTGAGTCTGTAACATCGAAGCTTATTATTAACAAGCTCTCCAGATTATGACCTGGAGTGCTTATTAAACAAGCTTTTGACATCACAGACTCAAGGAACATGGCACTTTTCTTAAGATCTTGCTCACACAGGCTTAAAACTTACTGCTTATAGGACATGCTTGGTTAATTGTCGTTTCTGCCTACTTTCTTTCAGAACATGGCCCAGTTTTCTGTTTTATCACCAAGACATTAAACTAGCATGCTTCCTCAGAAAAAAACAAGAGGACTTCCTAATTCCGGTCACATCGGGAATTTCTGCTTAGCTTCAAAAACCATGGAAAAGACATGCAGCTTCCAGGCCCTTGTCCGTGAAGGAAGAAAACATGATAAGACAAGTTATCAGAAATGCTTTCTAAAAAACTTGGACTGCTTCAACAACAACAAAACAAATTGGAAAGCAAAAGACTGGTAATCATGTGAGAAAATTCTTACTCTTTAGAAAAAAAACAGGACCACACCATTAACCCTTTCCCTATTTAAATTTGTACCAATAAAGACTGGGAGGTAGCATCTAGTTTCCTGTTGTCTTCCTGTGAAGAAGTATGAAAAAGGTATGACTGTAAATTTAGGCACCCAATTTAGGAACGTATCTAAGGGCTTAAAAATACTTAAATACTTTGTGTTAGTTACATCTCTTAAAGATTTTTGATAGAGTATATAGACTAATGTATAAAGAAGAATGCTAAATATGTTAGTTGTCACAGCAAATATAACAATCTGAATATAAAAAAATGAGGTAAATTATGGCTTAACTCTAATTAGAAGTTGAAGCAGATGACAAAAATTCATGTTTTTATATCATGTAAATGCCCTAAAAGAAAATTGGTTGATCTGTAACATGAACTAAAAAGGAATATATAAGCATTTTTTACAAAACTTAATTTTATTTTAAAAACCTACCTACATGTACAAAAGACTAGGAAAGAACAAATATAATTCTATTACATTTGAGGAGATATGCTGGATAAATTTTAATTTTCTTTGTATTTTTGTGTCTTCAGATTTTTTCAACAATGAAAATAATCAAATACCAAAATTGTTTTTAAAATAAAAATGGACTTAAATCTAGTTTTTGAACACAGTGTTTCTGGTAAGCAAAATTTAACATATTGATAGGAATAAAAGGTTAGAGTTCATCTTTAGTTTAAAAAGGATCATTAAGGACATGTGCGAGTACTTGGATTTTGCAACAACTTAAAATCTGATTGTTTAAAACTGAGCTAGTCTTAAAAGTTAAACTATATAAAAGACTATACACACATTATGGTGTGTTATTTTTTTTAATATTTGGCTTTCTGATTCTACTTTATGAGTTGAACTATCTTATGTGAGTTGGTGATTTTTATGTTTTAATAAAGAAAATAGAAGCTTGCTTTTTAATGTTTTTTATAGTTAATTTTGTAGGAATGAGTTTTATTATCTAGCACAGAAAAATCTTTGTTTTCCACAGAATTACTTTTCTTTTTTCACTGTAGTCTGTTACAAGGTCCTTTCATGATGTATCTTTTATCTGTTTAAAGAGTCTGTGAAGTCTGAGATTGCCTTTAAGATAAGAAGCTGCTAGTTGTAAACAATAAACCCGTTACCTACCAGCATTAATACTGAGCTCTGTGACTTCCATGGGATTATGTCTCTTGGATTCTCCTACAGTCATTTTGATTCCATTTGTACATTAGTGATTCATCAAGACCTAATGGATATGAACGTTTCTCTGACTTTGTAACTCAGGATTTTTCTCACTCAAGTAATATATCTTCACTCTTGCTTTCCTTCATTCTCAGTAGATGCTGAGGATGTTAGGGCAGAAATGTAGGCTTCTCCCCAGTATCTCCCAAGTGTATTCTGGGAAGTTCCCCAGCATCACCATAGTGGTCCTTGCAGCCCTTAGCGAAGGTGGGCCTAAGTAACTTGGCATGGCGAAGTCCAAGCACTGGACTATCCTTTCTGCCTGCTTAGCCAAGTATCACCAAAAGTGACCTTCAGACTTCCTAAGCATCGCTTGGGAGCCTCTTCCCCCTCATCATAGCAAATTTTTTTTTTTGCTTTCTTCAGATACTACAGTTCCCCACAAGTTACAGAGGTACTTTTCTGGGTCCACTAACTGTTTTTCATACTGCTTAAATGAGTACATTTGTGTTGCTATCAATCATATATTGACAAGCAATATAAATTTCTTGTGCCTCATTACTGGCCATTTATTTCTGAAACACATGTAGGCGTTTCATAGTGACCTTTTCTTTTTCAACTCCCAAAATGAAGTGAACACTATGTGGGGCTGGAAAGATTGTACAGCGGGGAGGGCACTTGCCTTACATGATGCTGACTGAGGTTTGGTCCTCTATATCCTATGTGGTCCCCTAAGCATGGCCAGGGTGATCCCTTAGTGCAGTGCAGTGCCAGGAATAAGCCCTGAGCACCTGGGTATGGCTCCAAAACTTTTTAAACTTAGCACAGCGGGTAGGGCGTTCGCCTTACAAGCGGCCAACATGGCCGACCCGAGTTCGATTCCTCCGCCCCTCTCGGAGAGCCCGGCAAGCTACCGAGAGTATTCGATATGCCAGACACAGTAACAACAAAGTCTCCAATGGAGACGTTACTGGGCCCGCTCGAGCAAATCGACGATCAACGGGAGGGCCTTTACTTATAAATAAATAAACCATGATTCACTTTGAGCATTTCAAACTTTTCCTGGTGGATTTCCTAGCAGGCCTAATGAATGGTACAAACTCATCAATTTGGAAGAAAAGTTAACCAGTAGATGGATGTCTATTTAGAAATCTTTATTAACATTATAAATAAGCTATATGTGATTTATTTAAATGATTTTGTGAACAATAAGAATACTTAAAATACCTTATAGGGTGCTGAGTGATAAGACAGTGGTAGGACATTTGCCTTGCATGCGGCCAACCCAGGTTTGATTCCTTGATTCCCAGCATCCCATATGGTCCCCCAAGAACTGCCGGGAGCATTGCTGGGTGCGACCCAGAAAAAAGCAAAAAAAAAAAACTTATTAGCCAAGAAATAGAAATAGCAGAGTTACATCTGAACCTGAAAATATTTTGCAAACTAACCTAGTACATCCTGGATTTTTTTTATGATAGACAAAAACTTAGTAATAGCCAGAATTCTCAGTGGTATGAGAACATCTAAATAAGGTGCATTGATTCAAGCATCTTTATGTACCACTACAGAATGATGTCTCATAAAAATGGACCAGAAAACATAAAGGAAGAATGGAGCTTGTGTGGATGTGAGTTAGCCTAGTTGTTATTCACAGAAAGCTTCTGGCAGTTATCTCTGATAAATGAATCAAGTGACCTGCTGTCTCCTTCGCACTTTTCTCTCCTTATTGAACTTTATTATAAATATCTACTCTTTCAGTTTACATTTTATGGGTAGAACCTAGAACGATACCTGACTTTGCAGCAATTTGTGTAAACAAGATAAATATCTACTTCTTCATAGGACTGACACTGAATTCTGGGTCGTGTCTGGACACTGTACCCAGTGTGGGCACACCACTTTCAAGGGAACATTGGCCTGCTAAAATGTACCAAGAGAAATATGTGGGAACCAGAGGTAGTAGGTCATGGTTAAAGGAACTGAAAACATAAACATTAAGGAAAAACATGGAATGAGAGGTTAAAATATTTTATGCATTGTTCAGTTAGAGATATAATTTGTCTTCCTATTTAAGGCCCCAATAAAAGCAGAAACCATGTCTTTTTCAATTAAGAGTATGGAGATTGTGTATCCTTTATACTTAGCACAAGTTGAACAAGATTGGGGCCAGAATCATAGTGCAGTGGGTAGGGAGTTTGCTTGTATGCATGTGACCAGGGTTGGATCCCCAACACCTGATATTTGTTCCCTGAATGAAGAGTCAGAAGCCCTGAGCACTATTATGTGTGGCCAAACAAAACTTGAATAAATACTGTGTATAAGACCATCTCACCATTCCTTTTTATATAGAGCCTATCTTCAATTCTTCAAACTGAATCCGGGAACTTCCAACACTACTTCACATTCTCCTACCTCCTCCCAGCCTGTTTAGTTCGTGCAGTCAGCATTGCTGAGAGGGCTGATTAAAATAGCTTTTTTCTGTAGAGAGAATTAAGGAGGAAGGTGCCTGGCATAGAGGCAGGGGGTGGAATGGAGTAGGGGTGGCAGGAAGGATACTGGGAACATTGGTGGTGGAAAATGTGCACTGGTGGAGGGATGGGTGTTCTATTATTGTATGACTGAAAATCATGAAAGCTTTGTAACTATCTTGCAGTGATTCAATGAAAGAATAACTTTTTCCCACCATGGGCCAAAAAGATAGTATATAGAGGGTAAGGTGCTTGCCATACATGCAGCCTGCCTAGTTTTATCCCTGACAACATATACGGACCCCCCACCAGGGTTGATTCCTGAATGTAGAGCCAGAATCCCTGAGCATTGACGGGTGTGACCCTAGAACCAAAATAACAGCTACAAAACCCTTTTAGAAATCATTAGTCGTAAGGCACTTAAAAAAGGGCTTCAGTGGCCGTCTTGAAATGGTACATATGCTTCTCTGCTGATGTTTCAGCACCCCTTTCTATGGCTTTACAGCTTTCAGCCTTTTTTTATCTTGTTGCTTACTGCTCCCAATATAACCATTCTAGAGGAAATTCGTGGAATATCCTTACTTATTTTGAAATAAAGTTTAGCCATTCTATAACATTAATTCCTTGGTCCTCTGGTCACCTGGAACTACCAGGAAATAGACATTTTTATTCCATACAAAGCAATTTCAGTATTTGATGACAGCCCTTTTGTTTTTTTTTCTATATGTAGGGAGGAGTTTTTTGCTATCTCAATAATTCTATTAAGATAGAATTATTCTATGATACTATAAACTAATGTAGATTACCCTATAGTATCAGATATTAATGATTTGGCATAGGTTTATTATCAAAATTAATGATTTGACATAGGCATATTTTTAAATGATTACAAAGAAGTTTAGTTAATATCCATAATCTTAGTTACTGGAAAACAGATTTTCGCCTTGTAATGAGAACTTTTAGGATCTATTATTTACAGTGTCAACAGTTTGAGGATATCACATATAAGTGAGATCCAACAGGGTATGTCTTTCTCTGCGGTTTATTTCACTAAAAATGGTACACCCATATTTTAGCAAGAAGCAGGATTACCCTTTTGGGGGGTCCTGAATAATCCAGTGTATATGTCTCCCACATTTTCTCTCTTTTTGAGCAGGGTGGTTTGGGGTCACACCCAACAATGCTCAGAGGTCATTCCTGGTGATGCTTGAGGAACAGTGTGATGCCAGGGATTGAACCAGGGTCTCCTGCATAAAATGCATCTGCTCAGAGCATTGAGATGTGTCCTGCCCCCTCCCATTTTCTTATCCATTCATCTGTCAAACTGCTTAGTTTGTTTCTACATCACAGCCACTTTGAAGAATAAAGGGGGAAAGACCTCAAGCCTGCATGAACATGACAGTGCTTATATCTTTTTGTGTTCGTGTTACTTTCTTTGAATAAATAAATCCTCAATAATACAGTTGATGGATCATCTGGCAGTCTTACTTTGACTTTGTTTTTGTTTTGTTTTGTTTTTTTGAATCTTTGGGATTTTTGAGGAGCCTCCATGCTGGCCACACCAATTTGCATCTTACACCAATATACATTCTCACCAACAGTTCACTTTTCTCCACATCCGTTTTCTCTACATCCTTATCAACATATTTTAAAAAATATTTTCGAGTGTAGTCATTTTAACAGATACGTGGTCACATTGATCTTTTGGGTACTTTTTTTTGTGGTTTGAAGGGTGTATTTTGAGCTTGGGGTTCACCTGGCAGATCTTGACCATTTTTGGCAGTATTTAGAGGATGATGTGCCCAATATTTAACTTGGGCCACCAGAATATGAAGTATGTGCTCAGTCTATTGAACTGTCTCCCTTGTTCTGATATCTTATTTTCATTTAGATTTGCATTTTCCTGATGATTAATGGTAGTACCTTTAATTTTTTTTTTTTTTTAGTGGGGGCAGAGGTAAGAAGATAGGGCACACCTGGCAGTACTCAGAGATCATTCCTGGCCGGGTTCAGGGTACCATGTGTGGTGCTGGAGATCAAACCCAGGTCAATTTAATGTAAGGCAAGTGCCTTACCTGCTATACCATCTCTTCAGCCCTCACTGCCTTTTTAGTGGCAAATAGCATGTTGGCCATTTGTATACCTTATTTGGAAAAATATCTCTTCAGGTCCTATGCCAAGTTTTAAATTTTGGCATTGAATTCTATGAATCATGGATTTCGAATAGTAATCCCTTATCAGACAAATAACTTGCAAACATTTGCCCTATTCCATAGAT